TGCATGTTTTTTGCAAGTATGACTCCAAATATGGTGCATTTTTGCACATGACTTTTCCTAATAAGTCTCATTGTACAGACAGCTACACTTGGAGAAGTATGAATTTTGAAGGATAACTGGGTTTCAATTTGCACAGTGGTTCAAATGTGTGAAATTCCATGATTTCTCCCTCACCCTGCTTGCAAATCCAAGGATCCTCTTGAGCTGAAATACAAAAACATCTTCCCCTGATGGCTCTCCAAACTGATTTATTCCTATTGCCATTTCTCTGCCACTCAGTGAATCTGTGAAGTCATCATGACATTCCCAGGGGGACACCAGCACTGCAGTGCCAGGTTGGGGGAGGCTCCAATGTTCATGGGATAAGAATCCACTCTGGATCTTACTCTGAACTCTCAAGGCACTGAAACAATTTTGATGTTGGGGGTCAGTACCATGGATAGAGTCTTTAGTACACAAAGTAAATACTAGAGGGATACATAGCTCTGTTGACAATTCAGCCCCCAGTCCCTTCTGAGTGCTGCCATGTTGGCTTTCCTGCCATTGGCATGCCATTTGGGAGAGAGGTTGGTTTACTTCCATCTGTTCTCACCCTTTACCTTCTGCTCCCAGGGTGAGATCATCTTCAAAGCTGGTTCTGCTGCTGCAGGACCCTGCAAAATAATGCAAAGCATAACAGAGCCTCAGTCAATCCAGAATTATTCCGAGCATCCAGAAGCTAAATAATTAGACTGGCCCAAACTCAAGAGGCTGGGAACTTTTTACTATGAAGCTTAATGAAGAGTGTGCTATCACTAAGTTCTTAGAAGAGAGACTGTGTCCATGTTGCAAATCTGCAAAAGCACAGAAAAGCCATGAAATCTGGCACTGAGCCCCAAAATTTCTATGATCCTGCATTTTCTTTTCTTTTTTCTAAACAGAAAAAGGTCCAGTGCATACATTTTAATATATTTGAAAGTTTTAGGCAAATGAGTGCTGAAATCTCAGAGGAATAATTTATATAATTTAAATTGAATAATTTCAAATCAATTGAAAATGCAATTAATTTCAAATAAATGTATATCTAATTTTATTTAAAAGGACTCCACGTTTTGCATCACTGAATTATTTTGGTAACAATCTCATTTTTACTTTTAGTGCAAAGAACACGTAGTCCTCCCCTTCATGGATCACTGCCTTGTTGTGGTGAAGGGGCTTGTGTAGCTCAATGAAGCTATGAGCTATGCCATGCAGGGCCACCCAAGATGGACAGGTCATAGTAGAGAGCTCTGACAAAACAAGATCCACTGGAGAAGGAAATGGCAACCCACTCCAGTATCTTTGCCATGAAAACCCCTTGGACAGTACAAAAAGGCAAAAAGATGTGACGCCGGAAGATGAGCCCCACAGGTCGGAAGGTGTCCAATATGCTACTGGGGAACAGCAGAGGGCTAGTACTAGTAGCACCAGAAAGAATGAAGCAACTGGGTCAAAGCCGAAAGGACAATCAGTTGCAGATGTATCTGGTGGTGAAAGGAGAGTCTGATGCTGTAAAGAGCTATACTCCATCGAATCCTGGAATGTAAGATCTATGAATCAAGGCAAGCTGGATGTGGTTAAATAAGAGATGACAAGACTGAACATTGACATCTTAGGAATCAGTGAATTCAAATGGACAGGAATGGGTGAATTTAATTCAGATGACCATCAGGTATACTACTGCGGGCAAGGATCCTTCAGAAGAAATGGAGTACCCTTCATAGTCAATAAAAGAGTAGGAAAAGCAGTACTGGGATACAGTCTCCAAAATGACAGAATGATCTCAGTTCAAATTCAAGGAAAACGATTCAACATCACAGTAGTCCAAGTCTACACCCCAACCACTGGTGCTGAAGAGGCTGAAGTTGACTGGTTCTATGAAGGCCTATAACACCTTCTAGAATTAACACCAAAAAATCATGAGGGATTGGAATGCTAAAGTAGGAAGCCAAAATATAACCAGAATAACAGGCAAGCTTGGCCTTGGAGCACAAAAAGATGCAGGGCACAGGCTGGTAGAATTTTGTCAAGAGAATATGATGGTCATAGCAAACACTCTTTTCCAACAACCCAAGAGAAACTCTACACATGGACATCACCAGATGGTCAATACAGAAATCAGATTGACTATGTGCTCTGCAGCCAAAGATGGAGAAGCTCTATGCAGTCAGTAAAAACTAGACCAGGAGCTGACTCTGGCTCAGATCATGAGCTTCTGGTTGCAAAATTTAGGCTTAAATTGAAGAAAGTAGGGAAAAGCACGAGGCCACTCAGGTATGACCTAAATCATATTCCTGATGAATATACAGTAGAGGTGACAAATAGATTTAAGGAATTAGATCTGATAGACAAAATGCCTGAAGAACTATGGATGGAGGTTCACAACATTGTACAAGAGGTAGCAACTAAAACCATCCCAAAGAGAAAGAAATGCAAGAAAGCAAAATGGCTGTCTGAGGAAGCTTTACAAATAGCTGAAGAAAGAAGGGAAGCGAAAAGCAAGGGAGAAAGAGAAAGATACACCCAACTGAATGCAGAATTCCAGAGAATAGCTAGAAGAGATAAGAATGCCTTCTTCAATGAACAGTGCAAAGAAATAGAAGAAAACAATAGAATAGGGAGGACCAGGGATCTCTTCAAGAAAATTGGAGATATGAAGAGAACATTTCATGCAAAGATGGACATGATAAAGGACCAAAATGGCAGGGACCTAACAGAGGCAGAAGAGATTAAGAAGAGATGGCAAGATTACACAGAGGAACTATACAAGAAAGAGCTTAACATCCCTGATAACCATGATGGGGTGGTCACTGACCTCGAGCCAGACATCCTGGAATGTGAAGTCAAATGGGCCTTAAGAAGTCTGAGCAACAACAAAGCTAGTGGAGGCTACAGTATTCCAGCTGAGCTATTCAAAATCCTAAAAGACGATGCAGTGCTAAACTCAGTATGCCAGAAAATTTGGAAAACTCAACAGTGGCCTCAGGATTGGAAAAGGTCAGTTTACATTCCAATCCCAAAGAAGGGCAATGCCAAAGAATGTTCAACCTACCGCACCATTGCACTCATTTCACATGCTAGCAAAGTGATGCTCAAAATCCTACAAGCTAGGCTCCGGCAGTACGTGGACAGAGAACTACCAGAAGTACAGGCAGGATTTTGAAGAGGGAGAGGAACTAGAGATCAGATTCCCAACATATACTGGATCATGAAGAAAGTTAGGGAGTTCCAGAAAAATATCTACTTCTGCTTCATTGACTATGCTAAAGCCTTTGATTTTGTGGATCACAACAAATTATGGCAAGTTCTTAAAGAGATGGGAGTATCAGACCATCTTATTTGTCACTTGAGAAACCTATATGCAGGTCAAGAAGCAACAGTGAGAACTGGACACAGAACCAGCGATTGGTTCAAAACTGAGAAAGGAGTTCAGCAAGGCTGTATACTGTCACTCTGCCTATTTATCTGCATATGAGCACATCATGAGAAAGGCGTGGCTAGATGAATCACCAGTTGGAATTAAGATTGCTGGGAGAAATATCAACAACCTCAGATACGCAGATGACACCAGTCTAATGGCAGAAAGTGAAGAGGAACTAAAGAGCATCTTGATGCAGGTGAAGGAGGAGAGCGCAAAAGTTGGCTTGAAACTCAACATTAAGAAAACTAAGATCATGGCATCTGGTCCTATCACTTCCTGGGACTGGCAAATGGATGGGGAAGAAATGGAGGTAGTGACAGATTTTATTTTCCTGGGCTTCAAGATCACCGCAGAGGGGACTGCTGTCAAGAAATTAAAAGACGCTTGCTCCTGGGGAGGAAGGTATGGCAAATCTAGACTGCATACTAAAAAGCAGAGACATCACCTTGCCAACAAAAGTGCGTATAGTCAAGGCTATGGTTTTCCCAGTTGCAATGTATGGCTGTGAAAGTTGGACCATAAGAAAGGCTGAGCACAATGAATTGAGGCCATTGAATTGTCCCTTGGACTGCAAGGCAATCAAACCAGTCACTTCTAGACATCAACCCTGACTGCTCTTTAGAAGGCCAGATCCTGAAGATGAAACTCACATACTTTGGCCACCTAATGAGAAGGAAGGACTACCTGGAGAGGAGTCTAATGCTGGGAACAATAGATGGCAAAAGAAGAAGGGGAAGGCCAAGAATGAGGTGGCTGGATGGAGTCACTGAAGCAGTTGGTGTGAGCTTGAGTGGACTCCGGGGGATGGTGGAGGACAGGAAGGCCTGGAGGAATGTTGTCCATGGAGATGCGATGGGTCAGACACGACTTTGTGGCTAACAACAACAACACGCACTCCTGCTTCCCCGCCTCACCCTTATTATAGTATATCTTTTTTCCTTCAAGGAACTGAAGGCAGCTCACAAAATCCTTTCTCTTCTCAATCTTATACTCACAACAACAACCCTGTGAGGTAGGTTGGGCTGAGAGTCTGAGACTGGCCAAAAGTCACCCAATGAGTTCCATGGCTGAGTGGGGACTGGAACCCAGATAGCCCGAGTCTGAGTCAAACTCTATATGTTCTGGAAGTTGATTAAGAGATACCCCTTCCTCCTGGGCACATCCTTGCCCTTCACTATGTTCTTTAATAGCTTTGAAATGGGCAGAAGAAGGGAGATGCTACTAAAACTTAGCTCTGGAAAGGCTGCTTGGATCCAGGTATGGCAGGTTGCACCCATCATTTTTTACAGATGGCAGTCCAGCACAGGAAGGGGCACCTGGACCCTCTCCTCCCCTAACATTTGTCTAAGCCAATCTCACCAGTATGTGGTTTTCCCAATTAGGGCCTGGGAAGGAAATACGGAGACCTGCACCTTTCCCTTGGTGGACGGAAATGCAGCTAGGAGGGAAATCTTTGAACTGGAGAACTCCCAAGCACTCTTTGGTGGTTGCACAACTTCCCCTTGCTGGTCTGCTCCAGATGGCAACCTCCCATGTTTGCTTTTCAGTTAAAACCCGACAAGCAGACACAGGAGAAAGACCCACAACAGGACCTCACATGTAGTTTGACCCAAACCTCCCTACAACCTGTGACCCATGTCCAGGCCTCAACCATCTTCCTTCATAGTCAGGAAGGCAGACTCAGCAAATGACAGAAAAGCTGAAAGGACGGCACTTACCAGAGGCAGCAGGAGCAGCAATGCCTTCTGGGAAAGGCTCCACTGAAGAGCTGAAATCCAGAACCAAAAGCTCCATCATGACAGCTGTACCACTGAGCTCTCTTATTTATTTCATTTATTTAAAACATTATATCAGATCTGGATCTCAGGATGGCTTACATAAAAAAATAAAAAAGTAACAAAGCAACAAAATCCAAAACAGCACTTTAATAAAACCACAGTATAAATTAACATCATTCTATCCATTAAGATATTGGATGAATAAAAAGGTTTTGGCCTGATGCCAAAATGAATAAAGAGTTGGCACCAGGCACACCTCTCTGGGGAGCAGGTTCGTAAGCTGGGGTGCCCTTCCCCTAGTAGCTAGTCTTCCAGCCTCTTTCAAGGAGGGCTCTTGACGAAGAACTTCAGCAAGCAGGTGTATATGGAAGGAGACATTCCTTCAAAGATTTCACTGTTCTCTGCTAATTGCTGCATCACAAACAACCAGGTCTGCCCATAAAGCAGAGCCATCCAGACTTTCACTGCAAGGGCGCAGTGCTATTGCCCTGGGGGCAGGAGCTCAAAAGCCTCCAAACACAAGCACTTGCAAGCCTCCAAGACAAGGTGCAAGGTGTGGGGGAGACCATTCCCTCCAGCGCTGCCATGCCTCACACCCTGCAGTTGGTCTAGATGGCCATATCTGAGGGACAGCAAAGGAGAGAGAAGGATGCTGGGCTGCCAACTGGACTTCTAAGTGTTTGTTTCCATTATTTGTTTTGCAGACTCTTGCCTTTGCTCCCCATCTTTCTCATGAGCTTCCAAATGTTGGTCCCAGGTGAGATCTGCCCTCTGTTCCTTCTTCCCCTTAAAACCCGAAACAGAGCCCTGCCCCATGTCAAAGATAAGGAAAGAAATGTTACTTCTTGCTTCTTTTCCTTCTCCTCTGAGTTTGCCTATGCAGATTTGTCTCAAAGAGTAATAATGCTCAAAACTTTGGTAGGACTTCATTCACTAGCCTGAAGAATAAGAATTAATTGCCCTGACTTTGAAAAGTCCCCCAGCCCTCAAGGATATGGGAGGAATCTGATGGGGGAGGGAGTGAAAATCCAGTGGATTTTCATGATTTGCTTCCATCTCCAGATTCCAGTTTACTGGTGCTCTATGGGCACCAACTTGCTATGATGCAAGTTGAGCCAGCTCGTAGACTTTCATCTCTAAGTTGAACTGCAATTTGCACATTAAAACACACACAAGTAAATATGCACAATGGGAATTCACATAAAATCGACCCGTTTGCACATACTGGTGTCCAAAAATTACCTGGTCCTTGCAGGTAAGTGCTCTGTGCAAACAGCATAAAATAAACAAAGGGCATGATCTGCCTAAATTTCCTCTAAGTTTTTAAATGTGCAAACCATGGGATTCCATAGGGGGGGAAATCTGACACCACTGCTTCCAGTTATCAGATCAGGAATCCATTGAGTTCAGGTGCGCAGGATGCCCTAGCATCAGAACATCACTACTGGACCATGCCCTGGCTCAGGACTTGCGCCACATCCTTTCAGAAACCAGGATGTAGACAGGAGCTTCAAATAACTCTTCTTCCTGCCTCCATCACTTGCACTTCATCCTCACTTTCTCTCAGAGTCGAGTTGACACGTTGCACAAATACATATACAAATATATACAAATGCAATCTTGCACAACTATAACATTCAGATTTTTTTATTTTAGAATGCACTGGCTTATTTTTACTTTTCTTGATTTTTAATGCTAAAAATGTCAATGTATTCCCTTGACATTCCACTTGGAGGGATGACGTTGGTGGAGAAGGGCAGGATGGGGACAGAACTCCCCTCTCTCATGCCTCCTAGAGAAATAGTTCGATAACGATGGGTATTCCCATGCCAAATTCAAGACTTTTATGACCAAATAGGAGAAAATCAGCAGTGTACTGGATAAACCACTGGATGTGGATTGTTTTGGAGAAAGTTGTTCTCCAATCTCTGATTAGCCACAAAGACCAAACAGTGACCACATTTGGATAATCATGGGGGAAAAGAAGCCACAATGGAGTTTTTTCCCCCACTCGTAAGCACCCTTGTGGAGCACAGCTTCCCATGTTGCCTGTTCCACATACCCAACAAGGTAAGCACCAAAGTGGCTTCAAAACCACCCCAGAACACATGGCTTGTTGTAGGGTTCAGACAGTATGGCAACCTGTGCAGCTCAGAGGGGCTTCTTTTCCCTGCATGATAATCGCAACCCAGCCACTATTTCTCATCTTTTTGGCTGCTAGTACAGGAAGTTTGGCAGCCTGCAAAGCTCTTCCCAGCAGCCACTGACAATTGGCTACCATGGTCTTTGCCCAGAATCCTTATGTGAACAAAGCGATCTAATGATGTACTATCATTCCCAAATAGATTCTGGGAAAAAGATAATGGTGGCCACCGGTGAACTGCTGCAAGGAGAAGCCCTGATTGCTGCTTCAAAAGTGAAGCCCATATATATATATACGTATAACAGAGCGAGTCAGAAGGGGTCTCCCAGGCCATCTAGTCTGACCTCCGGCGGGGTTCAGTGCTGGAGGCAGGGGCAAATACTGAATATTTACATCTGGTGCAGGGTGAAAAAACAAAAAGATTTGGACATGAAAATCACAGTAATACAGACTCTGTATTTCACTTTGAATAACACAATTGCTCCCCTTAGTGGGGTAAATATGGATAACCTCCTTTTTTAAAAAGCAACAGGTAGCTCCCAGATTCAATATCTTATATTTGCTCCCCCATTCCCCCTTCCCACACACACACACACACACACACACACAGACACAAAGAGGAGTATTTTGAAAAATCTATCTTTAAAGCCTTTAAATGTCCTGGCTTAGTTAGCACTTTTCCAATATCTTTGCCTCAGATCCATATTAACTCTATTGAGACATACAGGCCTTCTGGATCCTTCAGGATCAAGAACAGTGGCACCTCCAGGAAAGTACTTTGTGGCAAAAGCCCAGAGTTTGGTTCAGAAGGAGGAGCTGAGAGACACGTACCCTATGACCAAACTTAGTGGGGCTAACTTGTCACATGTTGAAGGAATTGTGAACAGTTAAAGGGTTTGGTGGAGACTGCAGGTGGTGCGGTGGTTTAAACCACTGTGCTGCTGGGCTGGTTGATCAAAAGGTCGCCGGTTCGAATCTGCCCAACAGAGTGAGTTCCTGTTGCTCCGTCCCAGCTCCTGCCAACCTTGCAGTTCGAAAGCATGCAAATAGATAAAAAGGTACCACCTCGGTGGGCAGGTAACAGCGTCCCGTGCACTTCAGTGTTTAGTCATGCCAGCCCCATGACCACAGAGACTGTCTGAGGACAAATGCTGGCTCCCTTGGCTAGGAAACAGAGATGAGCACTGCCCCCTAGAGTCAGGCATGACTGGACATAACGTCAAGGGGAAACCTTTACCTTTACCTTAAAGGGTTTGGTTGGTCCAGATATCTCAGTGAACTGGCTTGATTTACGTATTTGTTACATTTACATACCTCTTTCAAGAAACCCAAGGTCACAGCCGTGTGAGGTAGGTCAGGCTGAGAATCCATGATTGGCCTGATGTCACGTAGTGAGCTGAATGGCTGTGTGGGGACCAGAATCCTGATCTCCTGAGCCCCAGCTCCAATATAGGCCCCACACCACTTTTCCTCTACCAGCCACATTTATCTTCTTGTTCTGTCTTATATGGATTTTTATTGATTATGATATTTTCCCCTAGTTAAGTTTTGTACTTTTCTGAAAGTTGAGATACAGGTCTTTCAAATTCTTGACTCAAAAAGTATCAAAAACCTATTTTAAGTTAAAATGCATGCTAGGTGTGGAATCTATGCTAAGAGACCACAATACTTGATGAAGCACCTCTCCCATTTGCAAGCTATGTGGACACTGATCAACAGCCATGACCTTCCTTCAAAGTTAAAATTCAGAGGGCACCAACTCAGAGGCAGGGCCTTCCCAGCAGTGGCCCCACCTATGAAATGATCTCCCCACTGAGGCCCATTTCAGCTTCAGATAAAGACACCTCTGTATGTCCAGGCATTTAAAAACATTCAAGGAGTTTTACAGGCCTACGCTTTACTATATACTCCATTAGCTGCTTATAAATTGTCTTTACATTCTTGTACTTTGGGAATGTTTATGGTGTTTTATGAACTGTTTTATGTCTGCTTTATGAACTGCTGTAAACTGCCCAGTGATTTGGGCTATTGGGTGAAAATAATAAGTAACTGAGGATGATGGGAAATATCTTGTGAAATTGTCCGTGCACATGTTCATTTTGGAGTGAGGGACCTAAAGTTGGAAAACCTCCATGGTTTCCAACCAGCGTAATCAAATTATGCATGCATGTGTGCATAGGTGTGTTCATATGTGCACTCGTACCTGTGCATTATGTGGGAAAGGATCTTCAGAGGGATAGGAAAGGATCAAGTGTTTTCTATGGCCCATGGACAACTCAGCATTCCCTGGGGCACAGGATCAACCAAGCTGCTCCATCCATTCTATCAAACTGACAAAGCTAGTTTTGCATGCTGCTTTCACTATGTGTTCGGCAATGGCTCCCCCTTGTGGGACATACACAAAAGCACATGACATGAAGGAGAGAGCACTCTCAAATATCCTGGATCCAACTTGTTTAGGGTTTTATACACTGTTTATGTATTACATTTATGTCCTGCCTTTTTCCTTTCAAGGCACTTAAGGCAGCTTATATAATTCTCCTCTTTCTCTCAATTTTATTCTTACAACAACCCTGTGAGGTAGGTTGGGCTGAGAGTCTGTGAGTGGCCCAAAGTCACCCAGGAAGCTCCATGGCCAAGTGGGGACTGTCCCAGTCCCATGGTCTTAACCCCTACACCACACTGGCTTTCCAGTACAGCCTTAAGGGCAGCCCCACATCGAACATATTGCAGTAATCCAGCCATGACAGTACAAGTGACTGTAACCCCTCTGGCCAAACTAGCAGTATCCAAGAGAAGCTGTAGCTGGTTAGCCGGTCAGAGCTGCCCCTGTCGCTTGGGACTCTTGCAACAGTGATGGATTTGGGAGTAACCCCAGACTATGAACCTGATCTTTCAGAGGGACCATGAGTGGAGCAGGCAGTGAGCCTATCTCATGGACTAGGAAACCGCACACCCAAGGGCTTCCAACATGCCTTCCGTTTCTTGGTCCTCACCCAGCCTATTGCTGAGCCTGGGCACTAATCCAGGGCTGGCACTGCCTCCCCTGATTCAGAGTTGCTGCACTGCTGCTAATTGTTCGTAATACTCAGAAACTCCCCCTGGTTTCTGCGGCATTCAAGCCTATCCTTTCACTACAGGCAATTCCGTCCTTTTCTGCCATTGCTGGATCAGCCCCCAGTCCCAGAGATTGCTTGGCTGTACTGCACTGAGGGGAGGCTTGGCTCTTTGGCCGCTTAAATGCAGCAGGCCAAACGCTGATGGCTTGGCTTCCTCCATGGGTGGCTGGTGTAATCATTTGCCAGGATGTCGGAAGATAGCCAGGGAGGATGTGGTGTGGTGTGGTGTGGTGTAGTGTGGGTTCCTGTCTGGCTTGCGGCACTCATGTGAGCTGCAGTTTCCTGTACAACATTTAGCACATGTCAGAAATAAGCACCTGATGCCTGTGAAAGCCACCCCTAGGCCTGTAGGCTTTGCTGGATTATGTGAAACAGCAGGGCCTGTGTCCCTGGACCAGTGTGTGTATTTATTTATTTATCTATCTATGAGATTTATAGCCTATCTTCTTCTTTGTTCAAGAACTCAACGCTTCTTCCATCATTCTCCTGGAATGATGCTCCTAGTCTTATCCCCACAGCAACAACCCTGTGAGGTAGGTTGGGCTGAGAGTCTGTGACTGGCCCAAAGTCACCCAGTTGGCTCCATGGCTGGGTGGGAACTAGAACCCAGGTCGTCTGAGTCCCAGTCCCATGCTCTTAACCACTACGCCACACTGGCACTCTCTCTGTTAAGCAGTGTGTTGTTCCATTCATTGTTCAGCAAGGTCATGTTGAATCCCCAACATGTTCTATGGTGCTTGGGGATAACACATCAGCAAAAGATAACGTAGCCTCTATGCACATTTCTAAGTGCTGGTTTGGGCCCACAATGCCATATTTAGTCATCCCAGACATGATGCCCAGAAGTGCCAGGGTCACCATAGACCCTGAACTTCAAATCCTTGGCAGAGAGGCAGGAGCTGATAGACATGTGTGTGTTATTTGTGTTGTGGCGCTCATTATTAACATTTTTCTTCCCTCACCTCCAACCACCATTCCGTGCTTCCACCTTTCTGATATGAGGCGGGGTGGGATGCAGTTTGCTTTAGCTGCACCAATGCTAAACACACTGATCTGGGGAGAAGCAGTATTGCGTAGAAGCAGAAGGCTCATGCATGGTTCTCTCTCTCTCATTCTCTGTACACACACACACACAGAGAGAGAGAGAGAGAGAGAGAGAGAGAGAGAGAGAGAGAGAGAGCATCTGTAACCATGCACATACCTGCCCCTGACTTTAATTAAAAGAAATAAAGAAATTAGAAAAAAAGTGAGACTGTTGAACAGCAGATCTGCTGTGCCCTACCTCTTCCCACTTCATGGGGCCTCCCTCAGGTAGACTCACCTGCATTCCTCCAGCCAGCTCTCGATCTTATTCGATGAGTTCCCTGTGTGAAACAAGTGAAACAGAAACACATCTTAACTCCAGCCGCTCCTTGAGAATTTTTCAAATATATTTCTTGTGTTGATTTGCTCTATCTGCCTCTTCTGTGGGACTGCCCAAGATAAGTACTCTCCAGGAAAAAGAAGAGGGCAAGGCCATCTTTCCCCAGTCTTCTATCCTCTGGATGTTTTGCACTACAACTCCCATCAGCCCTAGTCACCATAGCCAAAGGACAACCACAATAGAAATTGTCGGCCAAAATGCCTGTCAAACACCAGTTTGGGAAATGCTGTTTTAAGGGGGATGAATCAGTGCAGTCAAGGATGTTTTCAGCATGGCACAATCACAGCTATAATCTGGTTTATCAGGGTGGGGTTCTCTGTGGGTGCCCTCAAAATGAGGCATATGCAGGATGGTTGGGGAAGCTGCCCAAGGTAGCATCACAACAACCCAGATCTGTGCTGTCCAGCAATCCAGTTCTTGGACTCACATTCTGGGAAGTGCATTCATTTCATCATGAATGTATGTAAATTTGAACTGAATATGGCCCCTTCAGTTCCACTTTCATGTGCTTCAAACCAAATGCTAGGAGTAAGAGACAGCAATAAACAAGCTGCGCTCCGTATCCCTTCATCCCTCATTAGAGGGTATCTTGATGACCATCAAGAGATCACATCCACTATGAATTTCTTGCCACATTCAGTGTTGTAGAAAGGGACATTCTTAGTAGCAGTAGCAGTATTAGTATTATAAATTACTTGTTTTTATGGTAAAGTTAATGGTGAACAGGGTAGAAAAATGTTTAATAAATATATAAATAAAATTTCTGTACTCCAGATTTCAACCAGCCCCAAGCCTGCTTGGCTTCCGAGAACAGGCAGGATCAGGCACTTCAGACTATACAGAAGCATTAAGAATACCTTCACCATATATTAAGAAAGCCCATGGGGACATCAGATTCTGCAAGCACGTGCTCGCCTACCTTCCAAAAAACTGTTCTCCAAGAATGGGGTCTGCAGCTCTGGCAAGGCGTGGCGTACCTCCTCTTCTGCAGCTGTGCTGTGCCACACGCAGTTCTGCCTGGCCCATGCATGTCGCCGCTCAGAGGAGGACTGGCTTAGCCATGAGGTGAAATGGTCCATATCTATTGGAAACCTAGGGAGGCACAGAAAAGCAGGGGGATGAGATCTTGGGGTGTTGAATTTGGCAGCATTGGGTCCATGACAAATCAGCTTGCCAGCCTGGGCAGAAGGCTTTCCCCAAGATAAAAGTCAGAAGCACAGTTCATGCGACACTCAAACACTGTTGCTAGGGCTGCTGGCCAGTGAAATGGCCAGAACACTTCAGCTATCAGGCAGTGGAGAAATGAACAATTCTGATACCAACATTCCCTTGCCAGATAGATGGCTGGTTAATAAACCGAAATAGCAAGCTAATGGCTAAGAAAGCTGTCCCCAAACCAGGCAGCCTCTAGGTATGTTGGATTAGAACTCCTCTCTTCTCCAACCAGCATGGCAGTAGCCCACCATATCCACAGGGCAAGATCGTTTAGGCCAGCGGTTCCCAAACTGTGTTCCACGCAACCCTAGGGTTCTACAAAAGCCTTGTAAGGGTTCCGCAAAAAATCTCAAAAATCAAACTTAAAGCAGATTTTAAAATGAAACCACATGAGGCCAACAAGTCAATTGTCAGTTGGTGTCCAAGCAGCAAACAAGGAAATGTATCACATCATTTGGTTCTGAGGACTCTATTACATAGTATTGGGAATAATCAAAAGAATTCATTTGAAATATGACTATATAATTGCTTAATTAGTTCATTACATTTAAAATGTTCTCTCTTTATTTCCAAAAGTACTATGTTGTGCAAAGCACTCTGACAATAAGAGCAGATGAAAGAAGGAAAAATGTTGTGGGTTCACAATTCTTAGTAAAAATCAGGTATAGATTTAGGGTTTCACAGAAAAAACAGTCTTCAGAAAAGTTTGGGAACTGCTGGTTTGCGGAATAGTTGGAAATCTCTGTGTGTGCTTGAAGGAGGTGTTTATAATAGCTTAAGCAAGGCAAATCACCCCCAGGCAAAGGGGAAACAGCGAGAGTGAGTGAGAGCGAGAGAGAAATACAGACTTGCAAGACTGCTGTGTTCCCAGAAGCACCTTGAGAGCACAATCAGAAGAGGACTTTGGAGCACACACAGCAGCCCTGACTTACCACATTTTGAACTGAACGCAAGTATACCATCTAAGAAGAGAGCCCCATTTAGACCATTAAGTCCAGAGCCTAAAATTGCCTGACTGCACCAGTGAGTGCAGGGCTTTTCTCAGCGGTGGGGAAACAGATTTCCTGCTTTGCAGCAGTGGTGGCTGTCTGCCCCAACTTATCTCTCCTGGTTTATTGGGAAATGAAGCAAATATTTCAAAGCAACCTGGAGCCTCCAGCACCCTCTCATCCAAAGGAAAACCACTCTGGACAATGTCACCTGTTTTTTGCTGCTTGGAAGTGGGGAGCCTGCAACTTTACAGTATGTATTTATTTTCCCAATCTTCTACCATCCTTCTGTGCTGGGAGCTGGGGAAGCATCTGAAATGTGATGTCCCTCCTTGGCAGTCCTAGAACCTCCTTCAGGGGAGTTGGGGGGAATGTGCTTGCTCTTAGTCTTAGGAGCAGCCAAGGCATCCTTCTCACAGCAAGTAGGATAGTCCATCCAGGATAGCATTAATGATCCTGCAATCTCCTGCAGCAGGGAATCCAGAGAACTTCCCTCCAGCGGGACAGTCTGGCTTCCATATATGGGCTTCCCCATTTCAGGGAGCAAAGAGTGGTGGATGCATCTGACATGACAACACAGGGACTTGAGGTACTCCCCATCCCCTCTTGAAGGCTGCAATTCAACAGCACTGAACAGCACTGAACCCTAATTTGAATGAGCTTCTTGGAAGAAGGTGCTTTTTCAGGGATTTGAAGTGGGTCTGTTCTCAATGTAGGTGCTGGATGTGAGAACATGAGCAAAGCCATGCTGCATTGGACCAAAGGCTCAGGAAACCAGAAGCCGGATTCTGGCTGGACATCAGGAAAAACTTCCTGACAGTTAGAGCAGTGTGGCACTAGAACCAATTACCTAGGGACCTCATGAGCTGTCCCACACTGGAGACATTCAAGATGCAGCTGGACAGCTGACTGTCAGGGATGCTTCATCCTGGACCCCTGCATTGAGCAATGGGTCAGACTTGATGGCTTTATAGGCCCCTTCCGATTCTAATATTCATTCATGTGTTTATTTGATTTATATCCCGCTTTTTTCTTACAATGAACACAAAGTGGCTTACATCATTCTCCTTTTGCTCTCCATCTTACCCTCACAACAACAAGCTTGAGAGGTGTGTTGGGCTGAGAGTCTGTGACTGGACCAAAGTCACCCAGTGGGCTCGAACCCAGAGTCCCAGACTGGTGCTCTTAACCACTGCACCACACTGGCTCACTGATTTGCTCACCTCTTCCATTTCATCGGAATGTGGCTGGTGATAATATTCTGTGGTTCCATGACTCTATGAAGGGTCTACCCAGTGGTCCAGCATTCTGTTTCCCACAGCAGCTATCCAGATGGCACCGCAGTACATGAGCCAAACAGCTCCTTCTGCATATGTTCCTCAGCACCTAAGGCCTGATACAGGAAGCAATGCAGAACCTTTCTCACCAGTAGCTGGTGAAATAACTTTATTTATTTATTATTTATTTATTTAGGAGACTTCTATGCCGCCCCATTCGCCGAAGCCTCGGGGCAGCTCACAACCATAAATAAACTTCAAAATAGAATAATATAAATTAACAATATAAATTAACAATATAAATTAAGTCACCCTGGCCTGCAAACTAATGAAAGCTGTTTTACTCACATCAAGGAAAATGACATGAGGTGCCCTTATCTCAAGCACCACTTAAGGCTTCTCTCATTTCCTTCTGGTGGTTTAAGCCGAAATCAGCAGGATGTTGGCAAAGCCCACAAAACTGAAGGGGGTGTGCTGAGATGCTGTGTTATCCCAAGGATCCAGCTAGATGGGCCATTTGTTGTTTTAGTTTGCCATGCTTGTGTTCAGTTGGTTGGTTTTTAGTTGGTCGGTGTAAGGTGGTGAGGAGCTGGTTAGGGTGAGAGGAGCAGGACTCAGCCTTTTGTCTCTTGCCAAATCGACCCATCCTACATACATTACTCACTATGAGTGGAAAATACCTTGTTTG